TTACACAAGTGACGTGACTTTGCTTAATCTTGCCTTCCTCATCTGTAAAACAGAGCTAACAATGCATTCATAGTAAGGCCATTTCCCTCCCTTATGCTGTACCACAGACAGGTATCAGGTAGAGGGACATCTCGTTTTTGGCTACGTCCATTTGGGTTGTGGGGACAGGTAGGTCACCTCAAGAACTAATTACTCTCTACCGACTTCTCTCCATCTTGGGACTTCTTAGGAACGAACTTGTGAATGCTTTGCAAAGCTGTCCATATGTCCATTCACTCAGGTTCTTTTTTGGGCTCTCTAACCTGGTTTTCAATGGTTAGGCCAAAAAAAAGGATGATATTCTCAAGTCCCTCTGGAGTACTAAACAAGACCCTTTGAAACAAAAGGCAATGAGAAAATTAACTTTCTCCTGCTCTCTATCTTGATACGTGACTTAGTAAAAAGACTTGAAGAGAGGAGGTTATTGATTCACAGAAAATGATGTAAAACAGGATGGTGGGAGGAAACCAGACTGAAAAACCCAAACTATCAACTCAGAATATTGAACAAGACATCATATTTCATATGAGGATGATCTGTGAATATTTTAGCATTGTACATCAGACCAAAGGTATCAAAATATTTGGAGATGGGGCCAAGGATTATACATTTTAAACAATGCCTTCTCGTGATAAAGCAGAGTTTTGAACAAGTTCCCACTATGAAAGCTTAAATATGTAATAGCATAGTTTTAATATTTTTCAAAATGATGGAGAAGGGGGGAAGAGAGAAAGAGAGAGAGAAAATTGAGTGAGAAAAAGAACCCACTAAGACCAGCCCTGATGATCCCGGAGTATTCTAAGAAGCAGGAGTTGGGGAAATCAGTGGGAGCCACTGCTGTCCTTGAAGGATCTGGAGGGGAGTTCAGTTGTATAACAAGTACAGACGGTGGTGGTGTGGCTATTAGGAAACCAAAGACCTGGGGCGTGGGAGCTTTCTTGGCCCAAATTTTCATTTCCTCCTGTCGCTTTGTGCAAGGAGAACAAACTAATGCAGAAGGAGAATAGTGGTAGCCACAGAATTTATTCAAACACAGCTTAAGCCTGTTGTGGTGTAATAGGTTTCTTATGGAAATTGAAAGCTAGATGACCATTACTCTCTTAACTTTCTCTCTGGTTCCACTCCAAAGCTTTGGCTCAAAGCTCCAGGATTCTACTTCCAGTGCTTACTTTAGTACGGTCCGTCTACAAGGTTATACAGTGGTAGAAAATGAAGCTACTGTTCTACTCCTGAAGGAAATGGGGAGGGGAGCACTGAAGTGAGGCCGTGGGTGGACATCCTACATAGGTAAATATGCATAGTTTTGAGTAATCTCTGCTTTCTGCACTTTCTCAAAGTTCTTCATGGACTCAGTCCAACCTACGTGAGAGTTCAGAGAGGACTCGGTTATACCATTCATATACGGATGAGAATAATTGTGGTATTTTTCCCATGATTTTTCTGCCTTATGTTTAAGTGAAGAAGGGTTGACCAAGACTCTAGTTAAGGGACTTTCAGATGTAACTAAGCACAGTCGACATACGTAATAAGGGGGTTAAATAAAAGATACACATCATTCATTCATTCACTCATTCATTCGGACTTTAAATTTTGATGTGCAGACAAATACAGAGAAGACTACGGCATCCCAACATAGGGACGATATTATCCAAAGTTCTTTTGAGATACGTAATATCTCAAACTTTGTCATATCATTTTGATCTGAATCCCAAGAAAAATTCCATCCCTAACTTTTAAAATGTCAGAACATTTGATACCATCATTTTGTTGTTTAGGACATTTAAGAGTTGATATTTTCATATTATCCATACTTGATTTATTCGATTAATGTAATTCTGATATCTTTCTTAACTTTCATGAACTGATGATTCAGACTTTTGTAAAAACTAGATGAAATTCTTGGTGGTGCCTTCAGGTCCTGGATTCTGGGGGAGAGACTAAAAATTGCAATTTAGATTTTCAAATGCAGATTGGTTGGCGTTATGTGTTTAATTGCAGAACAAAAGACTAGACAAGAAGATAAGTTATAGAAAGAGTACCCTTAGGATATGTTAAAATATATTTACATCCTGAATTAATGTTCCCAAATACTTAATATGAAGAGTGGGTTGTTTTTTAATTGTTGAGTAATGAGCTTGGAAAAGACAATAAATATGTCTAAATCTGGTGAAGGACAAGAACTATTTAATGTCGGAAGGGCTGTATATGGAAATGTATTGCTTTGAGCTGAAGTTCCATTACTCATATCTACTCTTCTTGCAGGCCCTGTGGGGTCAAGAAGATCATTGGCAAGGTAATAAGCCAAGCTACCCTCTGTCCTCACATTACTTGTGCAATTGGCTGAGTAGTGTTCACCCAATATTCCCATCCACTTCAGACCTCAGAATGTGACTGTATTTGGAAACAAGGTTTTGGCAGATGTATAGTAATTAGTCAGGAATCTTGAAATAATGTCATGGTGAATCGAGAAGGCATCCTAAACCGCAAAACAGGTCTCCTCATAAGAGGAGAAGAGGACCCGAGGACAGAGGGCAGAAGGTCAGCGAAATGGGAGTGCAACTGGAGTTACACTGTCACCCGCAGAGAAAGCGAAGGACAACCAGGAATTGAAAAAACAAACAAACAAACAAAGAAGGGCACCACCCTGAAGCCTTTGGAAGGACAGCAGCCCTGCCAACAGCTTGATTTTGTACACTGAGCCTCCAGAAAGGTGAAAAAGTGAGCTTTTGTGACTTTTAAGCTTTTGGTACATTGGTATAGCATCCCTAAAAGACTAACACGTAGTACCTTCAAGGGAATTTCCACCAGGAGGGTCTCCAGTAGCAAGCCACATTGCATAAAATACTGTCTTGGAGAGATTGTTGGGATAGGCAGAGTTTGACTCACTGGGACGCGGGGTGCAGCAAACAGATGGGGCAGGCAGTGTCAGGGTGCACTAGCTCATGTTGTCTCAGCTTGGTGACCTCACAATCTTCTCTCTTCTCATCGGGGTGTGAGGCGGCCACTCCCAGTCCACTATGTTATGACCTGTTCAATGCCATGCGCCACTGCGGTCAAGCAATAGTTTCAGATAGGATAATGCAAAGGGCCTACCCCGGTTGCTTTCTGTCCTTCGGTTCTGTTGTTACTGGGGTTTGAAGGGCCAAGTCTTAGTGTCCATATAAATACAGCTCAGAAGTGTAGTATGTAACTGGACACATATCATATAGCAAAACTTCACCTCAAGGGAGAAATGACAGCACACACATTCTGGCTCTTTTTCCCACCAAGTGGACTCCTAAGACCTATGAGTTCCTAGAGCCTCTCAATAGAGGGCCCTAAGTGAGTTAGCAATCAGTGAAGATTGTTGCAAAACATGGTCAACTCCATCACCAACTTAATATAATGGTTCTCTCTCCTTATTTCCTTTTTTCTTCCTTCTCTTTCCCAGAATTATACTTCCTAACAGACTAGCCACCCACAAGCTTTTTTGTTCAAGTTCTTCTTTCGGGGCAACCCAAGTAAAGACACAACTTTTTAGCGGGCCAATTGACCCAAATTTCAGAAAACTTATTAATTAAAATGCATTCAGTTAGAAGTAAAAACAGATCATCTGAAAATATCTTAGGAAGTTTATAAGCTATGAAGTAAGAAAAGCTGACTTTGGCGTGGCAGATCTGGGGATGAAAATAGCTCTGTTTATCTGTATCTGTTGACTTCCTTCTACAACGGATCTGGAATCACCCCCCATCAGAAAGGGAATGTCTCTCTTTCCAAGAGTCATATCTATGCAGGGAGGATCTGTTTGCAACTCTGGAGGGAGTACTACCCCTGCAATGGAAGGAAGTGGTAATGAAGGCTGGGGTGAAGGTGGAGGTCAACCTCATAATTGTCATTCTTTTCACAGAGGCACGAGGTAGAGGAGAAGTTCCTTAGGGAAAAAAGAGCAGGAGAAAGCAGAAGATCACATGGAAGAATAATTTAAATAATTGTGGGTGTTGGGTTCCTTGAACCATGGTGCCATATGCTTGGTTTCTGTGATAAGTTACATTATATGTTAAGAGTCCAGCTAAAGCTAATCAACTATTTCCTAAACAAAGCAGGTTTTTCTAAATACCACCTTTTTATTGTTTTTACCTTGATCTTAGCCAAAAGGCTGAGAAGCAAATTTTTATTGTTTTTATTCTCTGCTGCATTCTAAAATTATACTAAAGTATGACCAGTGAACTAACAGCACTGGGCCCCACTTGAAAGTTTGTTAAAAATGCAAACTTCTCAGATGTCTTGTCAGACCCACTCAGTCAGAATCTGCATTTTAGCAAGATCGCTGGTTGGTTTGCATGCACCATAGAATGTGAGAAGCCCTGTCTGCGCCCTGTGTTAAGTCAAGATGAACTCCTGAGCTATGGGCTGCAGAAGGCTCTCCTGGATAAGATGCTGTCACATTTTTAATTGACCCTAAAAGCGATACCCCAATGCAGTTCCTCTTTCTTAGAAGAGCAGCCAGCATTTTCCAAAATGGAATATGTGCACACAACCAAGAGGACCATGGATCCGGCACCTACATTCTTCCACGAAGACGATAGTAAGGTGTGACGTTTTTCAAAAAAGGAACAATGTATTGAGTCATGCAAAGTAAAAATGTAGCCACTCAATAGGTTGGCTAGTAGTAGGTACGGGAAGGAACCGAAATATGATCTAAAATGGAAACTTGCCAACATATGTATGTATGATGTTGATGGCCGTATTTCCATACAACTTGGACAGGATCGAAATCAAGGTCCCAAGAACACCTCTGACAAGAAAATATTTTTTCCTGTCTTTAATTTCAGAGGAAAATGCACACAGGCAGAAATGGGTGAAAAAAAACAGAAAATTGGTTGTCATGGCCTCCTGTGTTTACATTGTGCTATACAGCTCTGTACCACAGTTGAGCCTAACTCATAGCAACACATGAAGGTGAGACAGAAACGTGCTTCCTTTTCAAACAATTCTTTTAGTAGTTTCCATAGCTCAAAGTGAAAACAGAAAAATAAAACAATTGTATCCCATCAGAAATCAGACAAAATCATGCACTCATTGTAGTGGGTCTAATGAAATTCCCTCTTCTACCCCTCCACAAAGATATATCTGTGCAGAACCTGTGACCTTATTTAGACAAGCTATCATTGCAAATATAATTAAGTCACTTATGATACAATCATCTTCAGCCCTAAACCAGATGACCACTATCCTTACGAGAGAAGATGGAAAAGACATAAACTCTGAGAAGGTTCTGTGAGGATGAGGGTGGAGGTTAGGGTTAGATTGATACAAACACGAGGAACTTTAGGAGCTGGGAAAGTCATAAAATGAGTCTTTCCTAGAGGCTCCAGAGAGAGCAAACTGCAGAAACCCTTGATTTCAGGCTTCTAACCTCCACAAGTGAGAGAATTTTTTTCTGGTTTTTCAGCCATTCACTTTGTGGTCATTTGTTAGAATAACCCTAAGAATTGAATAGACTCATTTTAGGACCTCTACCTTTCTTCTTTTTATTTTCATATTCCTGGAAATAAGCATTTCCTCCTCTAGTTTTTCATTTGATATTCCTGGCAATAAGGTGGACTTTCACTATATCAGTGAGCAGAAACCCAGTTTTCTTTGCCTTGTGACGTAGGCGGGACAAGTTCAGCACAGGGCAGGAGTCAGCAGACTCACATGAGCTCCTGTCTTGATTTTCAGGGAACAGTTACTGCAGCTGTGGAGATACATCCCAAAGTTTCTGGTAGTCCATTTCAAGCATTCTAATGGGAAATGATACACACATTACTCTTCTCCTCTACTGGTTTTTATACCTATGTCTCCTTTGAGAAACTGGATCTGACCTCACTACTAAAGCTTCTAAACCCCAAAGGAAGTCAGAGAAGCCATCAAAAGCCATGAGCAGAAAGGAGTAACTCCTGCAAGATCCCCCCAGGGACCACATTCAGCATTCCACATCAAATTGTGTGCTTCCTTCATTCTGAAATCTGGAATAACCTCAACTAGTCCCCTCTGCTCATCTTTAGAATAAAACCCATTAATATTCTTTCACTGTTGACTGTAGAAATGAGAATGTGTTAATCAGTCTCCTAACACTGTTGCTAAACACCTGACAAAATCAACTTCTAAGAAGGAAGGGTTTACTGTGGCTTACAGTTTCACAGATTTCAGTTCCTGGTTTGTCGACACCATTGGTTCTGGACTTGTGTTGAGGCAGCACATCATGAGGACCATAGCTGGAACAAAGGTGCTCATCTCTTGGGGTCCCAGAGCTGAAAGACAGAGGAAGAGCCTGGCTACCAAGATCTGCAGTGAACCCCCTCCAGCCACCTAACTTGTTTTGACTGGGCCCCGCCTCCTAAAAGTTCCACCAGCTCCCAATAGTGCCACAGGCTGTTGACAAAATCTTTAACACATAGGCCTTTGCAGGAGATTGAAGAGCCAAACTATAGCAGAAACAATGCATTGGGAAAACTGTTGTTTGTCCGCTTTAGGAAATAAATGAGGAGGTACAAGGGAGGAAGAGGGAGAGAGAGAGAGAGAGAGAGAGAGAGAGAGAGAGAGAGAGAGAGAAA